GGGCGCGGGGAGGCTCGCAGGTGAGGGTCCGGGCATGGTGGGGGGGGGCGTACCCCCTTGGCAGGGATGGGGCAGGCATTGCCACCGGAGTCATTTTATGGGATGATTTTAATGAGTTGCTGTTCTGACTTGTATGGTTTCTGTTCTGTTTGGTTTTATTGTTTTTCTCTCGTTTCCTTTTGAAACGTGAAAGATTTCTTTCTGTATTCTATTTTATTGACCGATTATTCTCTTCCCTCCTGTTTATTCTTTCATGTTTATCCCTTGTATTTCTTTCTTTATTCTGTTGGTTTTGTTGATGTATGTGTTGGTTGGTTTTATTCTGTTGGGTTGGGGTTTTGGGGTTTTTTTTTTCTATTCTATTTTTTTTTTATTGGGGGGTCAGCGGGGGAGGGAAGGGCTAGCAGCAGATCGCAGCCACGCTGCCCGGGCCAAAGGGGAGATCAAAGGCAGGCAGCGATCTCCAGCTGCGGGAGACAGAGAGAGAGAGAGAAAGAGAAAGGGGGGTGGAAATCTTGCAACCCTGCTGGAAAGTCCTCAGCCCCAGAGACTCGCACCGAAAGCCTGAAAACAACCAAAACAAAGAATAAAAAATAAAACGTCCTGCGTGGCACAGGGGCGCTGGGGTCTGGCCGGGGATGGGGGTTGTCTTTGGGGCAAGGGAGGTCGGTGCGGGCAGGATTGCGCGGGGCCTGGGGAAGTTTCCCCGGTGCCATCATCCTCCCCCGGTCCGAGCATCCCTAGTCTAGCATTATTACTACAACACTATAAATAATGCTATTACTACTAGACTGCTATTGCTAAAATACAAGAATACCATTAGTAGTGTAATAAGTATGACACGTATTTCATCGTAAGCATCGATCCTTCTTGTCATTATCAACACATTATTGTTATCGTTATCCTTGCTACCATTACCGTTAGTAGTAGTAGCATTCAGATTAGTAATATGATTTGTAGTTGCATTCTTACGAATCTTACTAATATTATTACTATTCCTATTATCGCTACTATTACTACTACTATTATTATTACTGTCGCTATTACTCTTATTGTCGCTACTATTACTACTACCGTTTTCACTATTATTACTATTAATATTGTTGCTATTACTATATTTCCCACTCTTACTGCTACTACTGTTGCTATTACTATTATTACCATTGCTATTATTGCTATTACTAGTACTGTATATACCACTATTATTGCTACTACTGTTGTCACTATTATACTATTATTACTACTACTATGACTATAATTACCACTATTACTGCTACTACTACTATTGCTATTATACTATTGTTATTACTACTACCATTACTATGACCGCTATTACTACTACTACTATTATTACTATTTGTATAATTGCCACTATTACTGCTACTACGACTGTTATTACTATTACTACTATTATACTATTGTTATTATTATTACTACTATTACATTATTATTACCACTATTATTATTATTACTACTACTACTATTACTATTATTCCTACTACTACTGTTATTATTATTTCTACTACTCCTACTATTATTATCCAGCCTTCGCTCCCTGCCCGTGTGGTCCACAGGAGACTGGGCAAGCCGGACGAGGCAGGGTTTGCCCCAGTCCAGGGCAGTTCCGATGCTCTTGGTCCCCGTGCCATCGCTATTGCTGTCCCTGTTACGATCACTCTTATATTTTGTGCAATGACTACAATCGGGTGGGGGGAACAATTCAAATAAACACTCGGGGTAGTGGAAAGGGCTGGGCTGAGCCAGGAAAAGCCCAAACCCTTCCATGTGGGAGCTGCGGGGATTTTTAGCTACACAAACAGCGTCAGCGATTCGCCCCTTTCTCTCTGTAGCAATTGCTCTGGGAATCAAGAGCGGGGACAGGCTGGAGGGGCTGCTGCTTTTCTTTCTTTCCTTGCCTTGCTGCATCCGTTTGATTTTTTTTTTTATTTTTTATTATGATTATTTTATATTTTATTTTATTTTTCATTCGATTTTTGCAACTGCAGCCTCCTGCCTCGGAATAATGATTAGCCGCAGACAGCACTATAAATCCACTCATTTTCTGTTCTGGAAAGCATTTGCAAAGAACGATGGGGAGCAAGAGTGGAAAGAAAAGGCAGAAAGAAAGATGGCTGTAATTGTAATATCCTGAGATTTGCTGAGCCCCAAAGTCTGCCTATTGAGCTGGTCTCACAGGATTGCCGCCGTCTCTCTGCAGGAAACAGAAAATCTGATCAAGTTCAGAGACGTATTGAGACTGCTTCAAGCAGCGCTTTATAACAGCAGCCCTTTCACATCCTTCCCCCCCAATCCGCCCCAGGAAAGACTTCGCATTCTTTATTTTAGGGTTTGCAAAAAAAAAAAAAAAAGAAAAGGAAAGAAAAAAAAAACCCAGCCACAGATATAAAGTCTCCCTGAGTAAGTAACACACCAGCACCCATCAAAATGCCCACTCCGCAGCCGCCCTGAACAGTCCCAAAGTTGGAAGGTGAGTCACTTCTGTCTTAAATTATTGCGTCTAAAAAGAGAGAGAGAGAAAGAGAGAGGGGACAGCATTTATTAAAAAAAAAGAAAAGAAAAAAAAAGCAACCCTTTGCAAGCAGGGGATAAAAAAATAAATAATGCCTGGGTTTGGGGAAAGCGGCGGCTGGAGCTGCGGTTGCTGCAACGCCTGGGCTTGTTGCAGCTGCGGCCAGGGTGTTTCTCGGGGTGCGGGGAGCTGCTGGGGGGGCTCCAGCGCCCTCCCTGCCCAGCCTGGTCCGGCTGCCTGGCTCCGGGAAGCCCGAAGGCAGGGGAAGGGCTGGGCTTGCGGAGCCTCTACCTGGTCTCTCTGTCCGCGGGGCAATGAACGCCCTCCCGCACGTGTTGTGCTGGGTCTGCCACAAAACAGGCATCGTGCAATTAGATCATCAGCCGGGCCCCGGCCAGGCACAGGGCTGTGAAGATGCCGACCTGGGGCCAGTGACCTTTGCTTGCCACCAGGCCCCTCACGTGCAGCAAAGGCTCATTGTCTTGAGCCTTCCTCGGAGGGGAAGCCCCTCGCCGGGCTCCGCTGCAGCCTCCAGCCCGGAGCTGATTGCTGAAGTGGGGGGTGCTCTTGTCCCCTCCGGCCCAGGTGGCCGGGGGCTGGTGCCGGGCAGCGGTGGAGCTGGGGGGGGACCTGACACTGCAAAGTGAAGTTCACGGCTGTGCTGGCGCGGGGCGGCCCGGGGCAGCTGCTGCGGGGTCCCGGGGGGGTCTCTCTGTCTCTTTTTTTTTGCATGGAAAAATAAAAGCGGGTGGGTGCCCCCGGGGACAGGGACCCGCCACCAGCCCGGACCCGCCCGGCGCTGCGGGAGGATGAGGCTGCACGGAGCAGCCTGCAAACCGTGGCGCTGCCTTTCCCGCCTGGGGCGGGGGGACGACTGCGACCGGCGGAGGAAATGCCCGGGGGAGACGGGGTTTTCCTTCCTTCCCCCTTCCCCAGAGGAGTCAGCGCTGGCCGGGCCCGGTGCAAGCTGCCCGCCGCCCTGGCGCGCGTGTTTTTACCCCGCGGGGAGGGGAGAGGGCAAATCTCTCTCCTCCTTGCAGCTGTTTCCAATACGGGACGTGCGGCACGATCGCGGCACAACGACCCCGCGGGCCCACCCGGGTGCCCGGTGCGTGCCCAGCTGGGTCCGCGGCTCTGCCCCGCGCGCACCTCGCTGCAGATGTTTGCAGCTGGCCTGGAAGTGGCCGGGCTCGT